ACACACAAAGGGAAAAAGAGAACCAATTTTTTCTCTTAGCAAGTGCTGAGAAGGATCCGTTGGGTTTGATTTAGATAACGAACGAAGAGAAAGAAAGAGATAGTGAGAGAGGAGAAAAAGAGGAATGTAGCAGCACTGACAAAGAGCGAAGAACGGGAATGGAGGGAGGATAGAACTGCAATTCCTCCTGTTTGAAGGAGTCTTGATGAAACTAGAGATTCTACACACATACATAAGGAAAGAAACATGAGCTGACTGAAGTTGTTCAAGTTTATTAATAACGAACATTTTGATTCAGTTTATTAAATGATTATAGCTAAATTTGTTAATATGTTTTACAGTTACTTTCTGGAGTTAAAACAGTTCCATTAGTTTATACTGTATATTTATGACTGTATTTCTCTCATAGACTAATCTCACTTTAAATGTGCTTCTCAAAAAAGCTTCACTTTTCTCTGCAAACTGCTGTGTTCAGTGTAAGTGGGGGGAAAACAACTACAACAAATGAAATGTTATTTTAATTGCCAAAGGTATAGAATTTTATTTCTATTGATCCTTTTTCCAGTTGCTTTTGTACAAATCAAGAAGTGAGGCAGATTATATTCACAGCTTTTTTCATAGTTGTGGGATTTGAACTCACAACATTCCTGTCAGAAGCACAAAACCTTATCCACTCAGCTCCCAGATCAATACAAAACTTTTGTACAGAGTAATGATGTTGTATATGTCAGTCAGTCCTTCAGTCAGGAATGTCTTCAGGATGGAGGGCTTTGTTGTTTCTTGGTAACAAGACAAGCTGCATTTTTATTAATATGAGTGGGGAAAAAGAGAGGCAGGTGAGGGAATGACTGTTTATAGCTGCTATAATGTAAGTGATATAAATAACAGTAAATAGCTTAGCCAGCAGATATTGAACAATAGTACTGTAACTGGAATTTTAATTGGAAAACCTAATGTTATTCCTTAACAGATAAAAATTTGTAAGCATTTGTAAGTTGCTGTGGTAACAGGCTAACTTTGTGTGTATGTCCAACTACACTGCAACACTCATTGTTTGATTATTATAGCCTAGACCCCATCCGTCAATTAATTTTCTGTACCACTTATCCTACACAGGGTTTCAGAGAGCCTGGAGCCTATCCCAGGAGACTCGGGGCACAAGCCTCAGGACACCCTGAATGGGGTGCCAACCCATCACAGAACACAATCGCACACACACTCTCACACTATGTACAATTTAGAGATGCCAATCAGCCTACAATGCCTGTCTATGGACTGGGGAAGGATATTGGGGTACTTCTAGGAAACATGTAAGCTCTGCACACACAGGGCAGTGGCAGCAATCGAACCCCCAACCCTGGAGGTGCGATTCAAACGTGCTAACCAGAAAAATCCTACTACCTATTGACTCTCAAAACATGTTTTAATTGGTCATGAATGTTTTAAATATAATGTGGTACATGATGGGGCATCATACCTCGATGCTATAAATACAGCTCATGTTTTGTTGTGTTTTTTTTTTGACTGATATGAATATTGCAAAAGAACTATGTTTGATTCATGTAATAAATGTAATAAATCTGTCTATACTTACTCAGTAACGACTCATTTTTTGTTTTGCAACCTAATTAGTCAGGAGGTAAAAACTTTTAAACGAAGGATTACTTGTAAAATGTGTGGGGAAAAAAGCAACTGTCATAAACAGCAAATGTGAAAGCACCCTTAATTAGTCTGCACGATGATGACAGATGATTTATTTCAGAATAAGTTATGTGGAAACAATCAGATCACAATAACATGCAGCACTAGCCATCATATAGTAATTATCCTTACTAGCACAACATGCAGTCACCTTACAGATAAACATATAGAGAGAGACAATGATATAGCTGCATCATTCATATACATAATAGGTCATTTCCCTTAATCTTATTTTAATGCACTAAACTACAGAACTAGCTCTTTGTATGCTATTATATTATGTCAGCTACCACTTCGATTTACCAGAAACATAACTGACTGTATAAGGTCTGATAAGAAAAGAAATATATATATATATATATATATATTATATATATATATTATATATATTATATATATATTATAATTATATATGTATAATTATAATATATATATATATATATATATATATATATATATATATTAACTAACCTTGGCCACCATCTCTCAGTATGTATCACATGACCTGCCATTGAGCTGCACCCTACAACCCAAGATTTGCACTTGGATTAGTGATGTGGAGATGGTTAATTGTGTTTAAACTGGTGCTGTCAAAATGAATGCATTAATTGTTCCAATTAATTTGAAATATTTACCACAATTAAAAAAATCAACGCAATTAACGCAGCTGCATTTTGTTTACTTCATGTAGTGGCTTACCTGACGATGTGTGTGCCGACAAACTGAACCATCCTGCATAAAGGTGGATTAGGACAAGGAAGGAGTATATAAGTTTCAGTTGAAAAAGTTGCCATGTGGATCTTTAGAGAAAACAAAAGGAAACTGCACAGTTTGCAAAGCTGAATTTAATCACCACAGAATAATTCGTCTTTGACATATCACCTCAAAGCAAAACACCCTACCAGAACTATCGGGACCTCACCAATCTATGTTATAGGAGTGCAGTACTTGTGTGTGAATAACGTAACCTGTAAGTGAGAAGGTAAATAAATAATGTAGTGTGGTGAAATGTTGAGCCATGTACCCTTTTTTAATATTAATTATAATAATTTATCAATTATAACTACAGTTCCAACTAGTCAAAGTGTTTCAGCCTTTCATATTGTCCAATGAATATTCCTACATAAATTATGATACTTTTTGTCATAATATGTCTTGTTTCTCTTAGAAGCAGATGACTAAATAAAATTAAAGAACAAAATAATAAAAAATGATTTGGAGGATTACATCCGGTCTTTGTGCAAAATCTGAGCATAAATGTATAGACTTATTGGATTTCACATTATCTCAGTCTACCAATAGTGGTGTAGCTCCATCCCATAGTTTACATCATTTGTCGAATAGTTTTACAATTATTTCTTCACTTTATTTCCATGAGCCGCACATTCGGCAGGTCTGCCATGTGAGTTAACAATATTTACAAACGTGAATGAAGACAGAACCAAATAGTACTACTTCTCTGGTGCAGAAGCACATTTTCACAAGGCAGAGAAAAACAGGTATTTTTCCACTCTCACATCTACATGCACAAAACAAGCTTTATTTTCAGACATTTATGAAGGTGAGCACGTGTGTTGTATGTAGTGTCTAGAAAGATATGGAGAGATGCAGTGAGGACGGAATGTGTTGATTGCTGAAGGTAAGCAGTCCATTGTACTTTTCAGCCGACGGCAAGGACACCTTCACAGAGACCACAGAGACATAAGCATTCTCCATGCAGCCCCACTGAATGAATAGCATCTTCCTTGAACACCAATCAGACACACTATGCACACATGGTCCATCATGCTTTCTGACAAATACAGTAATTTCCTGTACACACTGTCTTACATACAAATCTCTCTCACACACACATGCTAAAATGACACACCAGCCAGCTGAGACGCTGAGAGACGAGAGAGAGAGAGAGAGAGAGAGAGAGAGAATATCAAGGAGAAGAAGGAACATTGAGAAAGAAGTGGAGTGCCTGGGTGTTTGATGGGGTTGGTGAGACCGTTAATCATGGAAATGGTTGCGTTAGCTATGGCAGCTGAATCTCTTAGCCAGGCACATGTGATGTTACCGCCAGCAATTACCAATGACACTCATGACGTCATCCTCCTTCCCTGTTTCCCTGGATGGCTACTCCAATAATGAGAAGAAAGGCCTTGGGTAAAGGTTGAGGAAAGATTCTCAAAGCATTTCTCACTTCAAGTTTCACTGTATGAGGCTCGTGCAACCAGGTAACCCTTTAGTTTGGGTTCTCTGAAAATGAGGAAGAATGTAGGAAATGTTTCCGAATTAGTTTATAAATCACTGCATTTACTATGATGTCTGCATATGAACACATGTATATTTGCGTACTTTCTCAAATTCATAATTTTCATAAATTAATTTGTATAAAAATGTATGAAGTATAAACTTAGCATTAGAGGGGGCATGGTGGCTTAGTGATTAGCAGGTTTGCCTGGCATCTCCAGGATTGGGGGTTTGAATCCTGCCTCTGCCCTGTGTATGGAGTTTGCATGTTCTCCCTGTGCTTTTGGGGTTTCCTCCCACAGTCCGTTGTCACATGCGTTGTAGGCTGATTGGCATTTCCAAATTGTCTGTGGTGTGTGGGGGTGATTGTGCCCTGCAATGGGCTGGCCCCCTGTCCAGGTTCTCCTCCACCTCATGCCCTTCAGGCTCCCCACACACCTATGTAGGATAAGCAGTACAGAAAATGGATGGATGGAATTAGGCATTAGGGATTGGGTTAGCATTTCTTTTTTTTTCTTTTTTAACCAAAACTTAATTCATAAGAAATTCAAAGAATCCAGCCACCCTGGCCTTGTTCACTATAATTGGTAAGATTTTTTCCTGAAATGAAAAGTTGCCCAAAGACGCTTAGAAAACATGTTCAATTTAGAACACTTAATGATTCCTTGCTAGTCCCATTGCAAGCCTTACAAGTCCTATGCAGAACCCTTTAATTATATATCCCTGTCAAAGCATTCCTAGAAGAGCTCTACTGGGAAGCAGAGAATCTTTACCTAGCCAAAGAACCCTTCAGGAACCCTTCACAGTGTAGGCGGTGAGGATGTATGTGATATAATTTTGGCATTAACATAACATCTTTACTGAATGCTATCCCAATTATACATTTCCATGGAAAGGCCCAGACTGAACTTCACGAAGGTGGCATAGAATCATCAGTGTGATAGTTAATAGCATATGATCTTCCACATTCAGGAAACCATAGGAAGCCTTCAATGCACCTTCAAAGCCTTAGCTTTTATAGCAATAGCTCCAGAATGGTGTAGTGGTCTAAGCATTATTGTGGCACCATGGCTTAGTTGGTTAATGTGCCTGTCTTGTACAAAGGACATCCTAGATTTGAATCCCTGCAGTGCTTCAATCAACTCAGTTGGAGTCTGCCCTGGGGATCCTTTAGTGCACCGGTGGCCTAGTACTGATTTATACTTCTGATTCTGTGTCTGCAATCTGTGAACACGTGCAGACATTGTGAGCAGATATTTGCAAAGGTGTCTGCCAACATAGGTAGATATAATATGAACACATGCACTAGGGGGCACTGCTGCATGTACACAACTAGAATGTACAGAAAATTAAAAACAAAGGAGAAAGTCTCATATTTCACTCAAATCTGAAAATGTATAGTCAACCAGAATTATTGGCACCCTTCATGAAAATTAGTAAAATGGATTAACAAATGTAATTAGTGATATTCTACCTTAAACATATGATGACACTGTACAGTTTTATTTTTTTAAACACTTTTTCAAACATAAAACATTTTAAGGAGTGAGAATTATTTTCTGCGAAACACTGGTTTCAAAGTGAACAGTACCCTGACCATTAATATTTAATAAGCCCTCCTGTGCAGAAAATGTCTGACAAGGTTAGAGACTTCTTAAGAGGGATCTTGGAACACACATCCCCATGCAGAACAGTTCAAGATCATTTATAATCTTAGTTTTATATTCATATAGATTTTGACTCTGACCACTGGTTTATGAAAAGATTCATTTGTGGAGCCTGAGATGTTCGTAGTAATGATTTGCATTCCCACATTTATTTCTCTGTTGATTTAAACATTATCCTGTTGAAAGATTATACTAAAGCCAAATCTAGGTTTTGAGCTCAGGACTGCCACTATCCGCAGCACAGTCTCAAAATAACAGTGATCTTCTAGCATACAGTCATGTGAAAAAATAAGAACATCCTATGGAAATTGTTGGCTTTTTGACATGTTTGGACAAGCAAACATTTGATCATCTTTGAAACAGTGTCTATTAATGAAGTTGATGCACTTGAACAAAACCACATGGAAAATCATTTTCAATCATTTATTCAAAAGAAAGAGCAAGAGATCATTCAATATCATTCAGTGGAAAAGTAAATACACACTTGGCGTCAGAAGCTTGTATTGTCTCCTTTAGCAGAAATAACCTATTGCAGGCATTTTGCATAATAGTCCACCAGGCTTACTGGAATTTCTGACCACTCTTCCATGCAATATTCTTTCAGTTGCAAGATGTTTGAGGGTTTTCTTGCATATACTGCCAATTTCAAATCCCCCCACAATATTTCAATGAGATTCAAATCCGGGCTTTGACTAGACCATTCCATAACTCTCCATTTCTTCTTTTTGAGCCATTCTTTGGTGGATTTGCAAATGTGCATTATCCTGACAGATGGCCTCATATTATCTTCAAGAACTCTTTGATATGATGCGGTATACCTAGTTGAATCAATGAATGCAAGCTGTCCAGTCCCTGAGGCAGTGAACAAACCCCAAACCATAACATTTCCACCACTGTGTGTCACAGTTGGTATGAGGTGCTTCTCCTGAAAAGCTGTCTTTGTTCTGAGCCAAACATGTCTGCTGTTACTGTGGTCAAACAACTCTATCTTTGATTGTCTGTCCAGAGCACATTTTTCCAAAAGGCCTGGTCTTTGCCTATATTCTGATTAGCAAACTGTAGTCTTGCAAAAGCTTTTTCCTTTCACGCCTCCCATGCAGGTTAAATTTGTGCAATGCACAGATACTGTAATGAATTTCTGTGGTTCTTGGAGACTTCTTTTTCCATCAGAAATCTGCGCCGTTTTTTAAATTATTTTACTTACAGTGGAATGATGTATCTGAAATAATTGGAGACCTTTCTAAATCCCTTGCCAGACTCATAGGCATCCAAACATTTTTCTGAAGGCCTTACAGAGCCCTTTAGATCTTGGCATGATGACACCACACACCTCAATAGCAAAGGGAACACCAGACACTAGATATGAGATGGGTATAAATAAGACAGGTTCCTCCTGCACTCTCTATCTTGAACGCCTAATTAAAATGTTATGGATTTGAGGGTGGGATAAATGTAGGGGTGTATTTATTTTTTCATGTGACTAATCAGTTTTTGTTAATTTAAATTGTGAAAATTACTACACAATGTCAATTTTATGTATAATTTGATAGAATGTATCAACTTTATTAATAGGCACTGTTTCAAAGAGGATCAAATGTCTACTTGTCCAAATATGAAAAAAAAGAAAAGAAAAAAGGCCAGCAATTTCCAAGTGGCATAATTCTTTTTTCACATTACTGTATATTACAGTATCTAGACTTTTCCTGGTATGTGGTTCCCATTTTTTGCCAAGCCTATAGTGTGTGTGAAAAAAGAGTTTGATTTTGGTCCACAGTCTGTTCCACAATACATGGTGGGCAATATGATCACGTCAAATTTATGGCAACTGCTTTTCGATTATTTATATTTAGTATGTGATTCATCACACATGCTTTTTATGTTCAATGTGTTTTGATTTTACACATGTAAAACCTCGTTGTCTGGATGTTATATACTCTTAAAAATGTTCATTAGTTTGCCACATATGCTGTTTTTTTTAGACAAAATTCTATTTTAATTTTTATTCTTATATTAAATTCTGAAAGTCTGGAAGTCTGTGTGGAAAATGTGAATAATTATATTACATTGTATTAAATGTGCAGTAAATTTTATAAATATGAATCCAGTTTGTGGTTTCACTTCTAATCACTGTCAGCGGACAAACAAAACAATGTACTGGACACAATTAAAGAAGAATTTAATAATTTACACTGTACTTTTATACTTTTTGGATTTCTAATTCCAGTGTCAAACCAAAATTTGGAAAGCCCATAGCTGCATTTAAGGGTCTATAAACAAAGGCATGTACCTAATGCTAATATTTCCTGAAGGACATTTGTTGGCCTCACAAAGGTAAGTTACCTGAATCTTCCCAAAGCTACCCCTCCTCCAGCAGCAAAAAGGCTGATTCACTCCCCCCTGCAGCTGTCAGCCTTTATGACCTCCTGGTCAAATCAATAGCTTTCCTCTTAGGCCTCCAGCAAGCCCATCCTCCAGGCTACACGCTAACAGCCAAGTGAGGCTTCCTTACCCAGACAAAGGTTGGAAAGAGTGAACCTCAAAATCACACTGGAATATTTTGGGATCATGGAAATGCATTATACATATAGACTATTAATTACCTAATTTACAACCAATCACTGGTCCTATAGATAGTAATGCTGCATTCGACTTACCTCAGAAGTTAGAAATTAGATCTCACAATTATGACCTCATTTGCGATCTCTGTACTTTCATGCTACAAACTGGGGAAAACACCAAACATCTCCATGTTCGTTTTTTGTTAGCAACAAGCTAGCAGCTAACTGTGATGAGTGACGTATATTTTCCTCCTAAAAACAGTGAACTGTATAGTCAGTGTTATAAATTTAACAAGTGAATATACTTGTATGTTGATTGATCTGTATAGCAAATACTATACAGCATATACAGCATAATTCATTTAAGGGTAAGATGTGTTACTTTGTTTACTGTTCATGTTGTAGTTTTTATGTCACTTGCTGAACTCTGGGTTGAGCAGACCTTCAAATCACACAAGTACTCAAGAAGGAACTTCCGAATTCAGCAGTGACAAAAAATAATTCAGAGTTTCAAAAATTCCACCAATATAATTGGCAGTTATGTATTCATGTTGATCCATTAGACAAAAGACAGCACTGGAAAGTAAAATATAACATTGTTGATCATCACTGATAATTTTGTTAAAATGTTCTCAGGTGTTTCTACAGTTTTACTGATCACATTGAATCAAACTTTTCCCCTCCTTTTCCCTTCAACTATGTTTGGTTGTTGTTTGGAAATAATTGAAGGCAGGTTCTGTATAGACACTGATCCAGCCAACTGTATTACAGATATTACCCACTACTCTCCACACACATTTTGCAGAAATAAATGGCCAGTTTTTAGAAATGCAAACATCCATCAGAGGATTGTACTGGTCTAAAAGAATAATATTTGTGAAATTGTGGGCTGGCTTTACTAATAGCTGTATAAAGCGTTGAAAAACAAGATAAGAAAGGTTTGCATATTGAGTGGTGTCCTGGCCTTGACCTGGAATCTGCTCTTATTTATTGCAAATTTCAAGTGCAAATGTGGCATCTTCTTACAATAAACAACAACAAAAATTGTTGTGATGGAAGAATACTGAGTCTGATCTCATGACCAATCCAATGTTATCTACGTTAAAGTTACCTCATTTTATAAATGTTAATATCAGACATTTTTTAATATTAGTTACTACCTATGTTGGAGTGGCACAGTATTCAGGGTGTGTCCCCACATCATGCTCAGTGTCCCTGGGATTTGCTTTGGATCCACCATGGCCTTTACCAGGATGAAGCAGTTACTGAAAATAATAGAATGACTTAGTAGACCTAGGAGCTAAACTTCTTCCCGTATCTGCATAATCTTGCATGTCATTAGTTATGTTTCCACAATTAGCCATGCTCACTGTGGTTAATCACTTTTTCACAATTACTTTCCTTGTTTAGGTAGATTTATGCCCATATAGCAACTGCAGATCAATATTGATTCAATGCCAGATCAGGATCCCCCTGTCAGTTTTCAAAGTTGCCCTGTGACAGTTTGAAGGTCCATGTGAATGTGTGGAGGGCCAGTCAATGGTTAGGAAAATAGAAAAAGAGGACAGAGAAAGACCTACTCAGTTCCTTACAACGCTAAGAACAGAGCCTACATTGTACTGCTTCAGCCTCTGGTGAGAGTTAGAGCACAAGTCCACAGCCGACAATGGAGTCCTCTCAGACACATATGCAGTCAGAGCACTAGCAGTGTGTGGGTGTGTGGAAGATGAGGACATTTAAAACACAGACACCAGTACAAGTTGATTCAAGCTGTCTGGCAGCAATGACTTGTTTAGCTCTGTATGCTTGGTTTCCCAGCAACTTGTGCATGTGCCCCATCACTGCAAGCCCTAGCCGAGAAGAAACATGGAGCAGACATTCAGTCCCTGCACCAGCAAAGGTCAATAAGG